TATAAAATCTTCCAATTAAATTTATGTATAGACTTTATCGGTTGCCTTACAAATGGTTTATAAATTTATAGAATCCATCAGACGATTGGTCACTTTCATGTTTTATGCAGGTTTCATTTCCTATCTGTCGTTTGTCGTCTGTGTCGACTAGACAGATAATCTCCAAAACTGCTGGTGTAATGATCGCCATCAACAATTTAATGACAACTGCTCATTACCTTGCTTAATTATAATTATCCAAATTTTATGAATCAATATATTCCTATACTTGTGGCTTCTGAATCTACCTTAATTTTTTTTATTATTATATTTTTTACTGTTCCATTCGTCTTGTTCTTTAAACAATACGATTTTCCATTACCACTGCGGTAGTCAAGAGATAACGCGTCAACTTCACACGCGAAAGGTACTCCGGTCAACAGTGGAACCGGGCACCAGGTTTTCTTACTAATAAAACCAAAAACGGTTTATCCTATTTTCCACAAAATTTGAGAATACAGAGCTGTTATTATTAATATTACACTGCACATATGCAAATAATTAATATAAGGTCCTTAAAATGTTGATAACGTCATAACAAAGTTACGTTATGAAAAACTTGCTTCCTTTTTTGTATTAAATATATCTAGTTTTTAGTTTAATTGCAAAATACCAAGAAATTTTTTGCACGGGGCTTCAGGGCGAGGGAAGTTCTCTCTAAATAAATTTAGACCAATGCATTGGCAACTTACCTTATAAAAAAACCAAACCTATAAAGAAAAAGTGGTGTGGTCGGTTTAAAAACTCTACGAATCAACACATAAACAGCGCAGTATGATATCGACTATATTGCATTAAGTTACTTGTGATGGACTTGTATTTAAGTTCCAATAAACACCTATACATAGGCGTAGAGTACGTATTGCACATCTCAAAATGTGGAGCTTGCAATACATACACGTGTCATGTATGCAAATGCTCGACCTTGATTAGTAATCGAACTAAGTTGTGCACGCCTATGGATTAAAGTCGGCTCGCCGTTCTCTAATTAAAAATAAACATCTTCATAAATACATTATGCAGCCGTGGTCAGAATGTCAAAAAAGATAGCAGTGTACAATTTTATAGGCATTTGTTTTTAATAAATTTCTTAAAGGCTATGTTTCAGTTGGACCTAACACATACAAGTACTTAAACAATTTTTTATGCACAATTTTTCGAAAATGTATTAGATATTTTTAATCATGTCATACCGTATTATATTTTAAACTACACTTTTTGTTGTGGACAATGCCCCTGTTTCTTAAATTTTAAAGTAAACGTGCCATTCTGATACTACTAAGAAAACAAAAAACAGATGCCAAACGAAAACTATAAAAAACTACTGATACTTATACAATTATAAATAACAAAAAATTTTATTATTTATTATTACATTTTATTTTGTTTTTTTGAAAAACAAAAATTTGTTTTAAAAAGGAGCTTACCCTTGGAAAAGATAAATATGGTTTCTTATTTTTTTAAAGATTCTTGTAGAGCTTGTTTTCTATTTTTTTTTATTTATACTTTAATCACCCATACTCCGTCACTGCCTTTGATTCGAACATATTATGTTACGAAAACACACTTTCTTAACGGGAGTCCCTCATGGAATTTTCAATAAGTATATTTTCAGAACCTAGCATCTCCGTTATTAGCACACCTATTGTTATAAAATTTTAAATATAACCTGTTTACACTTTTCGCTATATAACACAAGGGCACTTTTTTATAACAGTTTATCATCGTCTTCTTTTTAGTATTTTGGTGAAATTTTTCATCACTTATTTTTAAAAATCAATATTTCTAGTATTTACTGAAATTTCGTAACGCAGTTTTCACCACTGTTTTCAGTTTACAGAACTGTATACGTCACTTAGGAAACATTGTCCATTTTTGTATGGGAAACGAGATACACTAAAAAGAAATTTGTGTCGAGAACCTGCTTTTGCTATAACTCATTCAAATAAAATCCAGAATTTTTTCCACGTAAGAGGTCTGTTAGCTGAAAGCAGTGGTGGAAACAGCGTTCCAAAGTTTGCATAAATAACTGAGATATCGAATTTTAAAAAAACGTGATAAAAAATTTCATCATAATTTAAAAAAAAAATCTACAAATGAAAAAGTAGGGACTCGCCTTAACTTGTTTATATTTGGTCTGGCGCGGACTGTGCGAAAATCGGGTAAACGATAGCTCCAAATTTATAGGTGCAAACGCAAGGTTGTGCCTGTTTCTAGTGAGTTTCCCCATTGGAAAATGTTCGTATCAACATTAAATTTGCGTGTCATATCAATTTCAACATGTGCGATACTAATAATGGAAAATATAGATAACACCAGTCAGTGTAAAAAAAATTGTGACCCATGGATGAATCAAACCAGCCACCTTCGTGTTAGTAATTCCTACATTTTTAAAACCTTTAATTTAAGTGCTTTTTAATCTAATTTTAGTTCAACCGTAGTGGTGCCATTCAACTACACTGGCATACAGGGTGATGATTAAATAATGCGCAGGCACATACCATAAAATTTTATCGTAAATGGTAAATTAAAATTTGATGTACCGCTAACTGAAATGTCTATCTATTTTTATACGATATCATCAATGTTTGACTAAAATCACTTCGCTGTCAGTTAAATAAATATGAATCGTCTTGCGGTCGGATCCTAAAAAATAGAGACAAACACAATTTTGGTTGTACTAATGGACATAAAATTTTAACAAAATAATTTTTTCAATGCAGCAAAATTTTTTTAGCCAACTCTCATCTAGTTGTTGTTCTAACTAACATTATAAGCTTGTAACTTCATTTTATACTAATTAAACTACTATCTATCTCCCTTACTATATGCCCTCATTAACTTTTAATGACAATTATGTATTAATTTTTTTTTCAGAATTTTAATTTGTTCTGCCACAATATATTCTGCTCAATTTTGAATGCCAAAATTATTTAACAAATTATTGTCAGATCCTGGGATGCCTAAAATTGACGATAGTTTTAACATAAACAAATCAAAAATTTATAATTGTCAAGAGCTAATATCTTTCCTATAAATAGACATTATAGCTTTTAAATGTGGTGCGGCCATAAACTTAATCCGCAGTCTGTCCACAGAACATTTTTTTAAATCGACCAACAAAAATTCCGTTCGAGATGCCACTAAACCTGGTTTTTATTATACGTCTATCGAACAAAGGTATAATTTCTATAAAACATTCCACTACACCGAGAAGCAAAGCACTATTATGTTACCTTCTAAGTTTAGAATGCTGTTCACGTCCTCATAAATATCAACTAATTCAGTTATAACTACATAATTCCTACAGAAATTTGCTATACATATACTACATACATCAAAACTTTAATAAAGAATTAACAACTCGTGTTTATTATATACAGTCCTGTTTTGATCAGTATACAGGATAAAACACACACCTTCAGGGAATAATTAATTAAAGGGAATAATATCCTCAAAACGTAGCAGGAATGTAAAGTCAACGCTTCACATTGTGATCAGATTTAACGCACAGTTAAACTCATATTGCAGACGGCAAAATTAATATTATTGTCAAAATTATTGTCATTACTGCCAAGTGGCAGACGCAACTTTAGTTATAATTGTTATAATTGTAATATGAGACAGACAATTGACACGAAACCGCCTTAATGGTGCGTCTGTAAATTCAGAATTCTGCCATTGCAGGAGAAAATTTAAAGCTTTTTATTTACTCGTTAAATTACACAAAAATTACAGATCTTTTTAACTTTATTAACGTGCAATTAACAAAAACCTTCTGTAGCTGACGTTTTTTGGTATCTTTTTTTATACCTGGTGTTAGTAACAGACAATGAAAAAATAATTCAGTCGTCTACCACCCACTTGACGACGTTTGTTGAATCTAAAAGCTCCTATCAAATATTTTGTAATTATCAGTACGCTTGGACTATTAATACTGACCACGAAATTAGAAGTAATAATTAAGTATTTCAAATAGTTTGAGACTAAACAATCATGTTTTCAAATAAATCTGAACAGCGAAAATAAGTCTATGAAAATAATTAAAAATTAAACTGTATGTATGTATTTCCAAACGTGAATAACTTAGCAATAGTTTTAAGCAAAGTTTCACAGCGATCGATTCGACAGTTTTAGAAATATAATATGTGTAATAAAATTTTTGTGGTTATAACTGTCATTATAGCCAGTCACGAATTTCACAAGTTCACCGAAGAGTAAGAAATCTTGACATGATAGTGACGATGTGCAGGTTCAAATTCCCCGGTTGCTATTTCATGCATCAACGCAGAAAAACAATCTTATTGGAAAAGTCTTAAGGATTAACGAATTATAGCATGACTGTGCAATTAAAAAGTTCGTGAAAACTTATTTAATATATCTAAAACGAGAACACCTCAGTAAATGTATTACGAATACTATATAAAAGAAAGTGAATTGGTTGCCGGAAACGATTTCATGTGGCCTCAACAAGCACGCACTGAGAACTTACTTAAATTAATTTGGACGTAAACATTTACAACAAATTTATTCTTGTTTATAATTTTTCTGACGAACGTATAAAGAATAAAAATTGATTAACCATAATAAAAGTTGTTCCCGCATTTTACACAAATTTAACAAAGCCATTGAACTTTACAGTGTTTTTTCTCCCCGTCGAGCTTGATTGTAAAAACATAAAAATCCTGCAGTTATCATGTCTTTTATGGGGTGTCGGCGTAATTCCTCGCCTAATCAAAAATAATTTTACAACCCTTGTAGTTTTATGGTTGCGGTTCGAGGGCGGTTATAATTTTTCCCCTCGTTTCAGAACAGCCGTCACGTAACACCCCCGGGACGCTTATGTTAAACGGCCATAAAAATCCTTTATTGATACCCCAGCCCCGCGTATTAAGAAGGCGTTCAAAACGCGAACACACCTAATCTTTGCAAAAAAAGTCTCAGGAGTAAGTGTTGCTTACCTTCAAATAGACACGGCGTTTCCTCAAGACTTTTTCAAACACAACAACTCGAACATAAACACACAGGTGTACTCTTTTCGGACAGGTGATCGAGCGAAAATTACTCGGGAATCAAGCTGGCTGTAGCGAAAGTTACGTGCAGCGTCGCGACGCCGTCTGCTAGTCCTGCGACTCGCTCGGGGCGCCTGCTGGAAGGACGCGGCGAAGACTGACTCGCGATCAGGCTCGATGTCAACAATAATAGTGGGCAAACGATGCCGTTCTCGCTCGGCTAGGATCGGCGCGTTGTGTTTATTGGATGCAACGAAGGTCCTGCTGCTGCAGGAATACAATTAGCAGGCTCGGACGCGCATTTTTCGGATGGGATGCTGCCAAAAATCGATCGACGTCTACCTGTTGCGAGGTGCTTCATCTCGAGAAATGCTAAATTGGGGCTAATGAAATTTCTTGATATGAAAAATGTCATTTTAACTGCGAGTGTGCCTTCTAAAAAATGTGTATGGATGTCTCTAGGTAGACGGTGGATGCAAAATTGCTTCAGCAGACAAACAAACTGTGAACGGAATTTATTATACATAATGGTAATCAAGATTTTATTATTTCTCGAAATAATCACTTACTAGTATTATCATTATTATTATTATTATTAATATGATTATAAAGATATCTAGCAGGTTATATACTCAACTGTAAAATGGGCATTAATATGGATTCATATTGTATGAGAAAAAATGTATTTTAGTTTTTCTAGATATACCATCTGTTGTTTTTTCAAATGCTGAATAATTTTTAAGTATGCGATACATTGGGGAGCATAATATATCTGTATTTGGTGCGTCAACTGCAAACGTGTGATATTTTCGGCAGCGAAATGACGGAACTTTAAGATGGTATTTAGATAACAAGTGAGGAGAATCGACGTGATTGTTATACAAATTCAAGTGAAAAATAAATGCTCCTACTAAATAATGACGGATATTGAATTATTTGCAATAACAAACCACTTGGGTAAGCCCTAAATGAATATTCACCATCTAATGGTGAATGGCAGAAATTTTGCAAATCGCCTTTGAACATTTTCAAGCAACTGATATAAAATTCCGCGCCCTTAAAGCTTGAAAACGGATAGAGATACTAAAATGCTGTAAACGCCACTGTTTTTCAGAATGAAAGGGAAAGCTTAAATTAGTACAAAACATGAAATATGCTTGGCGGAGCAAACTATATTTTATTTTAATTTCCACACATATTTTTACTTCCCGAGCGTACTTTTACATTTTCTCGACCTTCCATGACCCCTACAGTACCCCTTTCCGTTTGTCTGTCTGTGTGGCGTCTGTCCGGCTTTTTATTAGGTATTATTTTCTATCTCTGAAACTACTGGAACGATTGTTGTCAAATTTTATACATATATTAAGAATATTATGTAGATGCTAAAACCCTAACCAACTTTTTTCTAATCGTCCCAACTAACAACGTGATGACAACCCCTCAAAATTTTTCATAGTACGTAGGGCTTAAATTTTATAAATTAACATATTGCTGTACTTGTTCTTTATGAATCCGTCTTCAGATTTTCCCCAAGATATTCAAATTTCCGCATTCAAATACTCAAACATGTAACGCGGAAATCGTTTTGTGTTCAAATCTCGCACAGAATTTTTTGTTTTTTATGCTATTGCTGTAGTTATCGATATTATACTTTTTTATTGCTCAGATCTCAAAAACGGTACACCACGGTATTTTATTGTTAGTATTACACTGCATGTTGGAATTGACCAATGTGTCCTTGCTGAAATAATGTTGATTGAAACGTTCTCAAATGGGAAAACTGCCTAAACAAGCATAGCATCTATCTTTATCAACGCATTAATATTTTTGGAGCAACTGTTAATCCATTTCCTGTCATGGTCACCCCAGACAAAAAAAAATACTTGTGTTTTCGTAAGAAAATGCGGTCGAATGCAAAGAGGCGGGGTATGGGTAATTAAAGTATAGTACATTAAAAGCACACTAAAATTAAAACCGATTTTTTTTATTCGTTTAACCGTAAGGTTTTGTGTTGGTTGCGCGGGATATACGAAAAGCAGAACGAAAAATTTATTTTTTAACTTTAGTGTGCCTTTAATGAAATCCGTAAAAACAAACTCTACAATAATCTGAAAAAAAATTGTTACGGAATAAACCCATACGCCGCCCCCGTACGACGCCTATGGGTTATCTAGTGCGCAGCTATGATGGGTGACTCATCGCCGGTGATAGCGGCCGGACCATGATACAAGTAAATATGGTATGGACATCCCATGAACCAAAACTCGTCTTCTTCTGCGCAACGTTATCTGACGTCATGTGGAATGAATGACCTTCCACTTCTGTGTTGACATCTGATGTCAAATATCAATTTTAAGGGTTATGAGGCAGTTATGAGTTTTTGTGGTTATGAGGGTTATTGTTTATTGTTACCAAACTGATGCGTAAAAACAAAATTGGTGGTTTGCTAGCGACCTAGCGTTGTTAAAAAAATTGCGGGGATGATAGCAAATAATAAGAAAATATGTATATTTCAGCCGAAGATACTCTGCAGAATAAAAATTGTGAAACATTGCAAATTGTTTTTACACTGATTGTGAATAGTAATAATAATTGTACAAAGAATCTCGTACATTTGGTAAGTACAAACCAATAATTTAATACACAACTATTAACCAGTATGGCGATCCTGTTACTGTCATTTGGCCGTCAATTGCCTTGGTGGTAACACGTCTTCCACGACTGTTTGCTGGTTACCGGTGACACTTTCTCGTTGAATAGGGCTGGAGTTACTTTGGGACTGGAATAGTGTTCTTTCCGGTCCGTTAACTCAATAATTCTAGTACAGTCTGTCGTAACCTCAAATCGTAAACACATCAACCTTTCGTTGACAGATAGCGAAAATTACTAGCCTCGCGCTATCTTTGTTTAACACATAGGTTAGGTTCCTCTCTGTCGAATTCCGACCACAGGCAGTTTGCCGTACTTTCTAAAAGTAATAGTAGATCTAGTGACTTTAGTTGGGCTCGGTAAATATTTCAATTTCCCGCCTGAATACAGCCAGGTGACGTCAGCAAACCTGCGTATGTCCATACCATATTTACTTGTATCATGGGCCGGACGGCGTTCGCTAAAGAAAAGTCTCGAAGCGGAAGTCGTGATGGTGTTCCAGACAAGTCGAGAAGCGGTGACGGAGGCGTTTCGAAAAGGACCGCGTAGCTGTTTAAATGGGAACCACCGTCGGGAGCAGGCAGAGTAGTCCAGACAATGGGAGAGTACAGTTAAGTTGCGTCGAATTTATTTTGTACATAATCGCTGTGGAATCAGTCGTGCAAATTTGAGTTATTGAGAAATAAATTGTTGAGTTTTACCCACACCGATTTTAAATACCCCTATTACGTAACAATATATAAATTATCATTAAAGAAAATTCGATGTCGTAGATGAAAAATAAAAAACATATACCGGGTGTCTGGAAAATGGCGGATTAACTCTCCGCTACGCTCTTAACGACCAACTGGTGAGTCTGGGAAAAATAGTAAAAAAAATCCTTCTCACATTTTGGTGAAGTTATAATGATTTTAAAATTGGTTCTTTTACTACGTTTAACAACTAAACAACTCATTCTTTATCACAATAACTAGTAATAAAAAAACTTTTAGTTAATATTTTTCTCGCCCATGCCCATGTTTAATTACCATTTCAGTTAGAATGCACAAAGATATGGCTGTGTTATTTTTGTAATAATTTGATAAAATTCCATTTGACAACAATGTTTGCCTGATATAAAGCGAAGGTGGATTTCAGCCACTATCGTTATTAAGAAACCAGAAAGTAAGCCGGAGGGATTCACGCATTAGGTGTGTGCTGTGTTGCCAATTTTACTTTTATAAAATTACGTTTTTTTCGTAATCTACATCATAAAGAATTTTTTTATTATTTTTTTGGGACTCCCGAAACTCCCGTATATAACGTACTGAAGAGTTAATCCGCCATTTTCCAGACACGCGGTATATAGAATGTATAATCAAAATTGTAGGATGTCATTTTAACTTTTTACAGTGCCAATGGTATAACTTATCTATTATATTAGTTTTAACGTAGGTATAGAGATTACCATAAACAAATGTTCGGAAAATTAGTTTTTTATTTTTCAAAGAAACGAGAAATGAGATTTGTCGAAATAACCGTCGGCCAATTTTTTTTAAGTAATTTTGTTTTGTCATATATGTAGTTACAATGACTGTGTAATTTTTTTTATTTAGATAGTATATACTATACTATACTCTAAAGTTGCCAGTCTTCTGGCAGTCCAGTCATATACTGTTGAATTTGCTGGACTGTTAACAACAACAGCTTTTATGCCTAACCATGATTAAAGTGCTTTTCCAGACGAAAAAATCGAATACTATATTGCAAGACTTAATAATAACTCAGCACCAGAAGTAACAGGTCTACTATTGTTCATCATGATTTTATCTTTCCACTCCCAAATCTTTGATTCTTCAATAACTATTCCATTATTTAAGAATGGTAACAAGCTCGACAGTCAGCACTACCGCCGCTGACTTACACCTGTTGCAAACTCATGGAATAAATAATTAAAGAAGCGATAAACAATTTTTGCGAAACTTGATTTTCAACAAGCAACACGGTTTTGTAGCCGGTAAATCAACAACTAGACCTTGAAGTTAAATGATAGAAGTAATTGCCTATTGACGGTTGCCTTTAAAAATGGAGTTATACCGCATAAAAATAAGATAACTTATTGGGTTGGATCGGTGACTGTCTTTCGTATCATACATTCTAAGTAAGGAAAGGGCCTAATCTATCCAAGTCACAAACTCGTCGTGAGTGAAATTCCACAGGCTTCGGTTCTGGGTCCACTACTATTCTTGGCATACACAAAAATATACAATTATCCACATCACCCAAACAAATTGCGAAACGTGGCTCTGCCTGTAAACAAAAACAAATCTAGCATTCTATGTTGCGGTTCTAATAATTCCTGACGCAGATACATGCTCAATGGACAGTTTTTAAAAATTTAGACATCCCATAGGATTTGGAATAATAATAATAGAAAATTTATCTTGGTCACAGCATAATAATAGCATTAGAATGAAAGCGAATAGTGAGTTGTACCTGCTTTGAAAAATATTCGGCCAACTTTCTACACCCTCTTTTGGAGT